ACAGGTACAATGGCTGATCTTAGACTTGCTGGCGGAGGCCTGCCTGCTCTCCCTAACATCAGGAGCCAGACAGGCTCTGCTCTGTGTACACAAGCAAGCAGCATACCTTCCGCATGCTGCCGTCATGTGTGCTGTCAAAGGTGACAGGAAGCCAGGAGTCAGTGGCCCACTCCTGTACTCCTAGCTGCTCAGGAGGCTGAGATCTGAGGTTCACGGTTTAAAGCCAGCCTGGGCAGGAAAGTCCACGAGACTCTTCATCTCCAGTAAACTACTTGGAGAAAGCCCAAAGTAGTGCTGTTACTCAGGGGAGAGCACCTAGCCTTGAGCACAGAGAGGCTCAAAGACAGAACCCAGACCCTGACCCTGAGTTTAAGCCCCAGGACCAAAAAAAAAAAAAAAAAGTGAAAGGGTTGTGTGTTTTGAGGACTTTCCAAGAAAGGTGCACACAACACCACGGGGATTGTGGGAGGCTTAGCGCTGGTGCACAAGGCAGTAGCCAGCAGGGGGGGGGGTGGGATGAGCAATCCGGCACATTCCAGCTCATGACAGCCGGGGACACGGGTAAGCCACATCTGCTGGTGTCTCTTCTAGATTCCAGCTTTTTAAGTGTTCAGACCCTTTAACCATCTGGAAAGCATGTGCAAACATCTGCCCTTTGCTATGCTGGTGTGCTGCGTCCAGCCTGCGTGCTTCCTCCCGTGACCCTCACCCACGTGTGCCAAGGTGGCGCCAGCCCTCATGCTCTGTGTGGAGGGTGATGGCACCTGAGGGTCCCCAGAAGCAGACTAGACTGGCTGGCAGTGTGCCCCGGTGGCACTGTCCCTGGGTGGAAACTCACCAAGCATCTGCAGGCCCACGTGGGCCTTTTTTGAGGGCTAACTAGGGTCTTGCTAGGCAGGAGCTCTACCACTCGAGACACACTCCAACGCTTTTTGCTTTGGTTTTTAGGTAGGCTCTCCCTTTGGTTTGTGTCAGCTCTGACCAGGGTGCTCATTCTTTGTGTGTCTCATATAGCTGGGATTATAAACACATACCATCATGCTGGTTTATTTTTGTAATGGAATTGTTTTAAGTTTTTGCCTGGATTGCCCTCAAACCAAGACCCTGCTAATCTCTGCTTCTAAGTTGCTGGCATTACAGGTCTGAGGAGGCACCGCTGGCCCGTCTGTGACTCCGTCTGCAGGCCTGATCAGAGGAGATTCTGCCCGCGTGGGCATTGGTGTGTGCTGCTGCCCTTCTTAAGGATTTGTTGTGGGTTTTTGGTTTTTTAATCCTTATTCTGTGTGAACTCAGCCTGGATAGTTGAGGCATTGTTTCCTGCCAGCCTGGCACATCTTTCTGAAAGCGCCTGGTTGCCCGGGGCTGGGGCCGGCTGTGCTCCTTGCCTGTGTGGGTCTGATGGTACTGGCACCCGTGGGACAGAAAGTGTCCTCCGTCTATACTGTGTTTGCTCGTCTCGGAAGTCTTTCTGCCACCTGTGCATCATTACGTATGGAGAGAAAGTGTTGACTGAGCTTGGCTCCTCCGCTTGAACTACAACTTGTGACTCATTTCTTACGGTTCTCGAATCAGTTCCCAACATGTTAGGAAAAGAAACAAACAACTTCCTTGTTTTATGGAGTGCTAACAGAAGAAAACATGTTAATTTCTTAATTGTTCTCCCCTGCCCCAGACATTAGCTGTGCACGTGTAGCTGTAGAAATAAACACGAGCTCTGTGATAATGGACTGTGCCGCCAGCCCTCCTGGAGGCTGCTTGTTCTGGGGTGTGGTGGCGCCTGCGTTATGAACAGGCGCTGGCTTCCTGCAGAAAGGCCCCTGTGTCCTTTTGTGGCTATGTGAGATGTTCATCACCAGCTCTCCCTCGCTCATTCCAGCTCCAAGATAACCATGATTTTGTGTGTGCTGGTACTTGAACTCAGGGCCTTGTGCTTGACTGTTTCTGCTCAAGGCTGGCGCTCTGCCATTTGAGCTACACCTCCACTTCCGTTTTTTTGCTGGCTAATGAGATCAGAGTCTCACAGACTTTCCTGCCTGGGTTGGCTTCAGACTACAATCCTCAGATCTCAGCCTCCTAAATAGCTAGCTGGGATTACAGACATGAGCCACCGTGACCAGCTGATAGACATGGTTTGTAAGAAGTTTTTAACTTTCTCGTATTGATTGCTCTGGAAATTTCATTTCCATTATAGAAAATTTACTCACTTAGCATATCTTTTGATGCTGTGTGGTTTTTTTTTAAGTTAATGAGGTGGTGTTTTTCTTACATTGAATAATTTCTTGAAACACCTTGATTCTCACTTAACAAAAACACTGGTGTTTGGGGTTGGGGATTTAGCTCAATGGAAGAGCACTTGCCTGGCAAGTACAAAGCCCTCAGCTCTGGGGGAAAATAAAATACATGCACGCACGCACACACTGATGTTTGAGAAGCCATCTGCAGCTGAGCCCCATGCAGAATGGAGTGGTCCCTGGGCTTCTGGGAACCCCAGTTCCTGCTGCTGTTCCCATGGTACCTTGTGCTGAGCCGTCTCTGCCTGGCAGCTACAGCCCCCTTTGAAGGAGACCCTGTGGCTCCCGCTCGGTGGGTGTGGAAGCTGTGCCCGTGTGGCCTTGTGCCCTGCTGGCCAGTGGCAGCTCTGCCCTCTGCTCCCCTGCCGGGCCCCGGGCCCCTCTTGGTCATCACCCTAGAGCTCACGGCCGCCTCACCCCAGAGACCGCACCTGTGAGCCCCTTCAGCCCTCCTGCCTCCGCCAAACCAACACAGGCGCTGATGGCATCTAGGCTGCCAGCATTGGCACGAAGGGCTCGGGCTGGGAAACTTGCTCCTGTGCCCCCCACAAGGCCTCCCTCGCCTCCCCCCTTCCCCACTCGCCTGACCCACCCCAGTGTAGAGCGCTCTCCTCCCCCAGAAGGAGCCTTAGTGAACCCACCCTGCTGGTGGGCACACGGCGGGTCCTGGAGGAGAGGTGTCCCAGCCCAGGCTGCTCTGGGTGTACCCACCAAGTGAGAGCCTGACCCTCCCCGCCTGGACACACGCCACAGGAGCCTGCTCCACAAGCTCCGCCAGACCACCTTCATCAACGACAGCGCAACGGGACTAGTGTAGTGCAGCGAGCCCAGGCTTATACAGTAAAACGCCAAGCGAACTTCTGAGCCCTTCTTCCTCATTCCCTTCCAGGTTGTGGAGCAGGGTGGGGTGTTCCTTATCCTAAAGGTTCAGGTGGCAGTGACAGCGCCGCTAGAGCGCCCTGCACTCCCTCAAGCGGCTGGCTCTGCAGCACACAGCATGCAGCCCGCACCAGGGAGCAGATACGGACCATTTCGTGAAGTCTTCCATGCATTCATTGGGCTTTGGGTCTTAGTTTGTGTGTGTGTGTGTGTGTGTATGTGTGTGTGTGTGAGAACTGGTCCTGTGGCTTGAATGCAGGGCCTAGGTGCAGTCAATTAGCTATATTTGCTCAAGGATGGTACTTTACCACTTGAGCCACATCTCCACTCTGGGTTTTTTGGTGGTCAGTTGGAGATACAAGTCTCTCAGGACTTTCCTACCCAGGCTGGCTTCAAATCACAATCCCCAGATCTCAGGGCCATCAATGCTCAGCTTCTGGTATGTGTTATAGTCTTTTACAAACCAAATCTAGCCAGGTGTGACTTACACCTGTAACCCTAGCTACTCAGTGACTGTCTTAACAACAGCAGGAAAGTTCGTGAGACTCTTAACTCCACTTAACCACCAAATAGCTGATGGAGCTGTGGCTCAAGTGGTAGAGCGCTAGCCTTGAGCAGAGTAGCTAAAAGCCTCAGGCCTGACACCAAAAAAATCCCCCAATCCATACCAGGATCCAAAGTCCACAAATCACATGATGTCATACGTGACAGAGCCACCGTTTATCTCTGTAGTGTTAGGCAAGGTTTTTCCTGCGTCTGCCCTTCGCGTTCTTCGGGGCCTGTTCTAGCAATCCGCTCTCTGGGGCCTGGGGCCTGCTGCGCTTGTGCTGTGCACCAAGCTGTACTCTAGTCTAGTTTTGGTTTCCATCTGTCCTCGTGCTTTGCAAATAACTATATTTTAAATCAGTGATATCTTGCAAGTATTTTTTAAAATTTTCATCAGCCATTAAAAAATGTAGTCAGTCTAAAACTGGAACTGTTGTTTCTGGATTTTGGATCATAAGTAGAAAACATTTTCTTTCTTTGCCTTTGCTTCTTTCCCTCCCGTGGTACTAGGGTTTTAGCTTTAGTAAGCCTCACAATAACAGGAGCTGCTTGAGCCATTTACTCCCCCCCTCCCCCCCCTGCTGCCGCCCTTTTTTGTCTTTATTGTTTTCTATAGGGTCTGACATCTTTTTTCCAGGTGGGCCTGGACTGGGCCTGGACTGTGGTCCTCCTGTTTACACCTCGTGTAGCTACAATGACTGACATGTACTTTCATGCCCAGTTTATGTATTGAACACTAACATTTTGGCCAGGTTGGCCTCAAAATGAAACCCTCCTAATCTCAGCTTTCCACATGGGTGGAATTAAAGGCATGAGCCAGTGCATGAGCAGCAGACCTGGCATTCGTTATTTTTAAATAGGGTCTTACATGTTTTCCTGCAACTGGCCTCAGACCGGAGACTCCTACCTGTGCCTTTTTGCCGGTTGACACTGCCACCTCCCAGGTAGCTAGCGTTACGGGGCACCACTGAGTCTGGAGGAAGTTTGCTATTAGTCCCACCCTAGTGTCATGTTTTTCATTCTTCAGGTTTAGAGCCCAGGTTTGTTTGGAGTCTTATCCTTGTGGCAGGGTTAGGAAGATGAGCTACTTTATCCTTCTTGATGGGGCTACCCATCACCCCAACCATTCTGAGGAAAGGTGAAAGGAAAATAAAGGTACTTTTGTTTCCATTTCTGCTTTTCAGTACTTCTGCACTGATACAGGTGGTGTGTGGAACTGTCAGACCACATGAAGTTTTCTGCGTCCTCTGGTCCTGACCTGCTGTTTGTCTTCTCTGTCTGCAGGTGAACGAGTTGGACGGCATTCCCCTGATTCTGGACAGCTGTAGCATGGATGACAGCAACCCCTGTATCCTTCCTGCCTGTGAGCCCGTGGTCACGCTGGTCGTGCCCGGACGGGGGTGTCCTTGCCTGCAGGCCCAGCACGCACTCCTGGGCTCACCCGGGCTGCGGGGACAAGTCTCTTTGCTGGTGTGAGGCAGTCTGTAATGGGCTGGTCGCCTTGCTTGCTTCTTTCTAAGAACGGAGCCATTTTCTCAAAGTCATAGTGTGCTGGTCTGTCAGTCCTAAAACCTTCCAGGTGTGGTGTGCTACATTTTCAAGGTGGCAGTGGAACTCGGGCAGAGGAGTGTGGGCCCTGTGCTGCGTGCCGGCAGGCGAGCCTGACGTATGAGTGCGGTTCTCAGAGTCTGAAAATGCTCCATGTGGGGTTGCTATAGAAACAGGAGTATGCGGTCCCGCAGGAGCTCGGGGGCGTGGGGCACTCTGGCTGGCTAGCGCCGGGCGCACACGTTTCTCATTGTCAAGGGCTGTGTCCTATAGCTCTCTGTGGCTGAAGTGGGAACGCTGGATCTCCCTTTACCTGATTGGCCACGCTCCTTGGAGGGTGTTGCCCACCGTTCCTTGAGTCTTTCTTTTATCACCAGATCACTGTGCTATGAAATAGATTTAATACAGTAGTGAGTAACTAGGGACTGGGTACAGCCAGTTTAGTTGAAGCTGAAAGCTGCCATTTAACTACGACCTTCCCTGGGGAGCGCTGACTCAGTCCCGACCCTGCCCCGGCCCTGTACGGCCTGTGATTGCCCACGTGGGGGGCGGCCCTGGAGATGCGTGGATGGTGGGAGATGGTAGGCAGAGTGGAACCATTCATTCATTGCACGCGTGGACAGTGGGAGATGGTAGGCAGAGTGGAACCATTCATTCATTTGGCGTAACCCACTCTTTAGCAAAGTGGTTTTTGTTGTTTTCCATTTTAAGTTTTTGTTTTGTTGGGGATTGGAAACAGGGTCTCAGGCATGCTTGGCAGGCACTCTACCACTTGAGTCATACACCTAAGTCCTTTTGTTGTGTGTGATTTTATTTATTTATTTTTGCCAGTACTTGGGATTGAACCTAGAGCCTTATATTCTTGCTTGGCTTTTTCACTCAAGACTGGCACTCTACCAGTTGAGCCACAGCTCCACTTTTTTTGTTTTTTTTTTGCTGGTCTTGGAACTTGAACTCCTGGCCTAGGCTCTGTCCCTGAACCTCTCTGTGCTCAAGGCTAGAGCTTTACCACTTGAGCCACAGTGCCACTTCTGGCTTTTTCTGTTGATGTAGCATGAAGGAATCGAACCCAGGACTTCATCCATGCTAGGCAAGCACTCTACCACTAAGCTACATTCTCAGCCCCCTGCTCCGCTTTTTTGGTAGTAATTGAAGATGAGTCTTACAGACCTTTTTGCCTGGTCTGGCTTTGAGCCTTGATCCTCAGATCTTAGCCTCCTGAGTCACTAGGATGACAGGCGTGAGCCACTGTGCTAAGCATATGTTTTGTTTTTTGAGATAGGCTAACCGCTGGGGCTGGCCTTAAACTGGTCTTGACCTTCCCATCTTCCTTCTATGTCCTGATAGCTGGCATTGCAAGCCTGCACCATCACACCTAGCCACACACCAGATATTATTGGATGTTCTGTATCATTCCCACTCCCCTCCCCAGATGAGCCTCTCTCTGCGTGGGCCAGTATGGGCCTTGAGGTTCTACAAAACAGGTCATCCAGGTGGGCCAGAAGATGTCCACTTGCTCAGCTCCTGGGGGTCAGGAAGGGCTGTGTGGCCTGTTAGAGCAGGCTAACGTCGCACACTATCTCCGTGTGGGGAAAAGAAGCAGCTTGCAGAGACCAGCTGGGTTTCCGCTTCTAGGGAGAGGTGACAGCTCAGAGGAGTCCTGCCCCTCCCCCTGCCCCCCCCCCCCCCGCCCCGCCCCTGCCCTGTCCTGCCCTGTCTCTGCCCCGCCCCTCAGCCCCACCCCTGCCCTGCCCCTGCCCACCCCTGGCCCCGCCCCACCCCTGCCCTGCCCCTTGGCCCCACCCCTGCCCTGCCCCTTGGCCCCACCCCTGCCTTGCCCCTCAGCCCCACCCCTGCCCCTGCCTACCCCTGGCCCCGCCCCACCCCTGCCCTGCCCCTCAGCCCCACCCCTGCCCCTCGGCCCCACCCCTGCCCTGCCCCTGCCCTGCCCCTCGGCCCCACCCCTGCCCTGCCCCTCAGCCCCCCCCCCTGCCTGCCCTGCCCCTGCCCTTGCCCTCCCCTCCCCTGCATCCCCCCCCCCCTGCCCTGCCCCTGCCCCGCCCCTGCCCCGCCCCTGCCCTGCCCTGCGAGCTCCTGTGTTGGGGACACGAGTCCAGCCAGCCCAGCTGCTCAGCGCCGCACTCCCTCTTGGGTCGCCCGCGGTAATGACAGGGTAGTCGATGCCATTGGAAAATTCCAGCTCTGAGGCCACAGAGTCAATTTCTTATTTGTCAGTTTATTGTGGCAAGTGGGATTTTTTTGTTGTTGTTGTTTCCAAATAGGAACAGCTGAACTTTATTTGAAATGTTTTTCTTTTTTTCTTTTTTTGATCTGTGTTTTGATCAGTTGGCCTTTATGTGGGTTTTATATCTGTTGTTTTTATTGGGGGATTGGGTGAAGACAGGGCTGGGAGAGCCCAAATGGGCTTGTATGCTTCTTAGGTTTATCTTTTTTTAATTAATTTTTTTGTTTTTTATTTTTTATTTCTCTTCTCTTTTCTTCTCTCTCTCCACTTCCTCCCCCTGCCCCACCTTTTGAGTGAAAGACCTCATTTGTGACAGAATTCCCTTGCATGGGAAGATATTCAGAGTAATAGGCATACTGGCCAAACTGTCCCCCTATAATGCTGTGTGGAGCAGATATGGCTTAGTGCGGAGGGAATCTGCTGTGCCCCGCAGCCTCAGTTCTGCCCCATGCGTGTTTCCCTGTAATCTGTGCACAGGAAGTATGGTGTGGAGTGATGAGGGCATTTGCTTGGCTCTGGGACCAGAGACTCAATGTCCGTTCTGTCTCTTCCCTCGACCATTTCTGTGGGTGCTCACTTCTTTGTCTGTCCAGAGGAATCTGCCATCAGGGTTACAGGGAGGAGGATGAGATTGGGAACCTGTGGTTTCAGCCACCTCAGATGTGCTGTCTGAGAGACTCCATTTCAGGGGTGCACAAGATGAGAAGTATAAAGTAGAGAGGCCTTGACTCCGGCGCACTCCTGGCAGGAAGTGAGACCCTATCCTCGGGATGACTAGTGGTCCGGAGGGAGGGTGGAGGCGCGGCTCGGCGTAGTGCACCAGTCTAGCAAACTTGAGGCCCAGAGTTGAAGCCTGGTACGCTTGTCTGAAGTGAGACTTTACAGTTGCGGTTACAGCCTCTTGCTTCTCAGCCTCACATTGTGGATTGTTGCATGTATCGCTTGTAGCCTGGCTTGTCCGATGCATACACATGAGGCCTGGTAGGCGCATCCCTCCTCTTTGCCACATGACCCTTCCGGTCCTGTGTGTGGTCTGTCCGGGGCTCTGAGAAGCCTGCGGTCGCCCGGCTCTGCTGCATCTGGTTGCCTGCTTGGGGGCATGATTTGTCAGGGCGATTGTCACTTCTGTCGTGTGTCAGAGGGATGTACTCTAGTCTGTAGTAGCCACTTCCGCTGCCCTGCCCCCACACAGGAAGTCATGTGAGACTGGCATGGACACAGTTTCCTGTACATCCTTCTGGCTTGTCAGCTGTCGGCTTTCAGAGGACACTGTTTCCATAAGTTTCTATCTCTGTGGTCACTTCGTCTTTAAGCGTCGCCGTGTATAACTGGTTTGAAACTAACACTTGTGGCTTAAATTTACATACAGCAGCCATTCTTGTCTAGCACCCTGCCTGGTGCGGGCTGCCCTTGATACCTCGTATTCCAGCTTGCTTCCCTCGCTGGAGACGGCACAGCGGGAGCTCTGGGAGCGGCTGTGGACGCCGCAGTTGGAAGGTGAGCGGAGCACTTTTTAGATGCCAAATGGTTTACTCAGATAATGCGTTCGTATCTTGCTCGTCTCCTGGTTTACCTATGCATGAATAACAGCGCAGAAGTAAAGAGAGTCTGGTCGTTCTTAACCTTGGTTTTCACAAGTCGGTATCCTGGTGTGTGAGATGAGAGCGAAGGTAGCAGCTGCAGCGGGGCGTGCGTGCGTGCGTGCGTGCGTGCCGGCGGGCCGGCGGGCCGGCGGGCCGGCGGGCCGGCGGGCCGGCGGGCCGGCGTACGTGGGCATGCGGGCGGGCCGACGGGCGTGCGGGCCGGCGGGTGGGCGTACGTGGGCATGCGTGCGTGCGTGCGTGCGTGCGTGCGTGCCGGCTTTCCGCTGTGTGGCTGGCCGGGTTGCCTCGACGCCTGCGGGCCCGTCGCTGGAAGCCCATCAGCCGTCCCAGATGCTCTACCTGGGGCCTGTCCCTGTGCAGGGAGCACACGTTCATGGCGGTTCCATGACCTTAGCCCTTCTCGAGGAGCTGCTGAGCCACCGGCTTGGAGGGCAGCCAGGCGCCGACTTGGTCTGACTGGCATCCCTGGTACTATTAAGGTACAACTATATTTGCAAGGTTAATTATTTGCCAGTTTTCTTTTTCCCTTAGCTTCCTTTATTTAAAAGAGCAGTGACTTTTAGATGTGTATTTAGGAAAGTAATTAGTAACTGTTTTACATTGTGTTATTTAAATACCTTTGCACACACAATATGCATTTTGTAAGACACTTGAGAGAGATTGAATAGCTGAAGTTTGGCATAAACATGTGCCAGGTAACTAATTGTTAGGGCTTGACTAAAAGGACCGCAGTCAAATTTAACAGCAACTGAGGAATCTGGTCACACCATTAGTGCACATGGCCATTCGGAACTGTTAAATAGTAGCTCCGTGACTTTTATTTCAAGACCACTGTGAGCAGGAAGTATCACCTTCTGTACCAGGAGCCAGCATATTCAATAAAGACACAGCCATCCATTGGGGATGTTCCACTCTCCTCTGGGACGAGCGGAGCAGGCCCCTCCGTTCCTG